CTCAAAACGAGAAGAATGGAAGTGAAAAAGAGGACCTGTCAGCAGAATATGGGGCCGAGCAGCAGAATACGGGGACACCCTGTACTCAGTCTGCAGAGATTGAAAAGCCGAAGGGCAGTCCGATTTTCCCTCCACTGAAACCCGAACCTCTACCGTTTCCATCCAGGGTACGAAAGGCAGCAAAGGAAGATGCTGAAAAGCAGGTTCTTGATGTGTTCAAGAAAGTCGAGATCAATATTCCTCTCATTGATGCAATCAAGCAAGTCCCTCGATACGCAAAATTTTTGAAGGACCTATGCACCAACAAGCGAAGGCTGCAAGGGAATGAGAAGGTTCTGATGGGAGAGAATGTCTCGGCAATTTTTCAGAAGGATTTACCCCAAAAGAGAAGCGACCCAGGTATGTTTTCGATTCCGTGCACAATAGGGAATTTAAAAATCGAGCGAGCCATGCTCGATTTGGGAGCATCAATTAATGTTATGCCTCGCTCTATTTTTGATTCCTTAAATTTGGGTCCTCTTAAAGAAACTCGGGTGGTAATTCAACTTGCCGACCGAAGTACTACTTTTCCGGATGGGGTAATTGAAGATGTTCTCGTTAAAGTTAATGAGCTTATTTTTCCCGCTGACTTTTATGTGTTGAGTATGAATGACAGGACTCCTATATCGACCCCGATTTTGTTAGGGCGGCCGTTCTTGAACACCGCTCAAACGAAAATCGACGTTCGTGAAGGCACTCTCACAATGGAGTTCGATGGCAATGTTATTCGTTTTAATATTTTTGATGCCATGAAATACCCTGACTCTGACCATTGTGTTTATTTACTTGACTGTATTGAACCATTGGCACAAGAGTTTCTCGACACTTACAGGGAAGATGAGCTAGAGTTGGTGATTTCACAAGGTTTGGACAAAAATCAAGCAGTACGGGGTACCTGCCCAGCAATACAGGGCGACCCCATACTTGGACTGCAGAGAGAAAGCAACCAAACCGAGTTTTGTTACCAGCTGGAGCTTGTTGATGAGGCCGTAACAGCTTTGAATACACTAAAACCATATATTGGAAAGCAGGATAAAAATTTTATTCGGTTACTTGAGCCTGATAAGAAAATTCTTCCTTCTACTTTGCAGGCACCGGAGCTTGAACTGAAATCCTTGCCGAGCCACTTGAAGTATGCATATTTGGGAGATGATCGAACACTCCCAGTGATAGTGTCATCAAAGTTAGAACCTGACCAGGAGGCAGCCCTTATTGAAGTATTGAAGAATTACAAACGAGCAATCGGATGGACCATTGCCGATTTGCGTGGGATAAGCCCGTCCATTTGCATGCACCGTATCCTTCTCGAGGAAGACGCTAAACCATCTCGGGAGGCACAGCGACGGCTGAATCCTCCTATGATGGAGGTGGTGAAGAATGAAATTATCAAGTTGCTGGACGTTGGAGTCATTTACCCGATCTCGGATAGCCGGTGGGTGAGCCCGACGCAAGTGGTTCCAAAGAAATCGGGTGTGACTGTGATCGAGAACCAGGTAGGTGAGTTGGTTCCCACTCGTGTACAGACCGGGTGGAGGGTATGCATCGACTATCGTAAGTTAAATGCTATGACTCGCAAAGATCATTTTCCATTACCTTTTATTGATCAGATGTTGGAGAGATTGGCAGGTTACTCTTACTATTGTTTTCTAGATGGCTATTCAGGTTATTTTCAGATTCCCATTGCACCCGAGGATCAGGAGAAGACCACATTTACGTGTCCGTTCGGGACATTCGCTTACAGACGCATGCCATTCGGACTGTGTAATGCGCCTGCCACGTTTCAAAGGTGCATGGTGAGCATCTTTTCGGAGTACGTCGGCAATATAATAGAGGTATTTATGGATGATTTTAGTGTCTATGGTGAGTCATTTAATTCGGGCCTCGAGAACCTTGCTTTAATCTTAAAACGATGTATTGAAACGAATCTTGTTCTTAATTGGGAAAAGTGTCATTTCATGGTAGAACAGGGTATTGTTTTGGGACATATTGTTTCTAAGCGAGGTATTGAAGTTGATAAGTCTAAGGTCGATATCATTACTGCTTTGCCTTACCCCGCGAGTGTTCGGGAAGTGCGTTCTTTTCTTGGCCATGCAGGGTTTTATCGTCGGTTCATCAAGGATTTCTCGAAGACAGCTGCCCCTTTGTGCTCATTGCTGCAAAAAGATGTGGAATTCCGGGTGGACGAAGATTGCAAAAAGGCGTTTGATTCGCTGAAGGAGAAGCTGACCACATCTCCAATTATCCAGCCACCTAGATGGGAGCTCCCGTTCGAGATAATGTGTGACGCAAGCGACTATGCTGTAGGAGCAGTGCTAGGCCAACGAGTGGATAAGGCGCCACATGTGATTTATTATGCGTCAAAGACATTGAATCCCGCCCAAGAAAATTATACCACGACTGAAAAAGAATTGTTGGCGGTGGTTTTTGCTCTTGAAAAATTCCGTTCATATATATTGGGAACTAAAGTAGTTGTTCTTTCTGATCATGCAGCACTACGTCATCTTTTGGCGAAAAAGGAAGCAAAGCCGAGGCTCATTCGTTGGATACTCTTGTTGCAAGAATTCGACGTGGAGATAAAGGACAAAAAGGGAGCTGAGAATGCTGTGGCTGACCATTTAAGCCGAGTAACACATGCTTCGGATGACTTTCAGCTGCGAGAGAGCTTCCCAGACGAGCAGTTGCTGTGCATTGAAAACTTGCAGTTCCCAGTAATACGGGGTACCTTCCCAGGAGTACAGGGTACCCCCGTACTCGACTGTGCTGCAGCTGAACAACAAGATCGAGGAACTGCGATGTCGGATTTAGCCGAACCCTGGTATGCTGATATTGTAAATTATCTGGTTGCTAAAGTGTATCCTACAGGTATGAAGAGCCACATGAAGGATAAGCTCAGGAGCGACGCCAAGTATTATGTGTGGGACGACCCGTACCTTTGGAAGCATTGTGCCGACCAAGTGATTAGGCGATGTGTCCCGGCAGCCGAGTTCCACCCCATTCTTTCGTTCTGCCATTCACACGCATGTGGAGGTCATTTTGGTGGTAGACGGACAGCTCATAAAGTGTTGGAGAGTGGATTTTATTGGCCTACGCTCTTTCGAGATGCGCATGAATTTTGTAAGTCGTGTGATAATTGCCAACGAACAGGTAACATTTCTAAGAGGAATCAAATGCCCCAGAACCCTATTATTATTTGTGAAATTTTCGATGTCTGGGGAATTGATTTCATGGGCCCTTTTCCTTCTTCGTTTGGTAATGAATATATCTTACTTGCTGTGGACTATGTCTCGAAATGGGTGGAAGCAAAGGCCACCCGAACTAACGATTCGAAGGTTGTTGCAGGTTTCATTAAATCTAACATTTTTTCTAGGTTCGGGATTCCACGGGCAATGATCAGTGATCGAGGAACACACTTTTGCAACAAGACAGTGGAGGCCCTGCTTAGGAAATATGGTGTTGTGCACCGGCTTTCGACCGCCTATCATCCTCAGACAAGTGGTCAAGCCGAAGTGTCGAATCGAGAAGTTAAGTCCATCCTGGAGAAGACGGTGAACCCCAACAGGAAGGATTGGAGCATTAAATTGGAGGATGCATTATGGGCGTACCGAACGGCTTATAAAACTCCCATCGGCATGTCTCCATACCGGTTGGTGTTCGGGAAGCCCTGCCATTTGCCGGTCGAGCTACAGCACAGGGCTTGGTGGGCTGTGAAGAAGTGCAACTTCGATTTTGATGATGCGGGAGGCCACAGAAAGTTGCAGCTGCAAGAGCTCGAGGAAATAAGAAATGAGGCTTTTGAGAACTCGGTGATTTTCAAGGAAAAGACGAAGGCCTTCCATGACCTAAAAATTTCGAGGAAGAAATTCATCGAGGGGGAGAAGGTTCTACTCTTTGACTCTAGGCTGAAATTATTCCCGGGCAAGCTACGCTCTCGTTGGATTGGTCCTTTTATCGTTCTGAAAGCTTTTGGTCATGGAGCTGTAGAAATTTTTAGCCCTACGACGGGCAAGACGTTCAAGGTGAACGGCCACAAGCTCAAGCCGTATTATGGAGAACTTGAAATTAACGACGTGGAACGAGTCCGGCTGGACACTTCCCAGTCAAATTAAAGGGGAGTACATTGTCGAGCCAACGACGTTAAAAAAAGGCGCTAATTGGGAGGCAACCCAATATTATTACTATTATTATTATTATTATTATTATTATTATTACTATTATTATTATTACTATTATTATTATCATTATTATTATTATTATTATTATTATTATTATTATTATTATTATTATTATTAGCTTTAGTAGTTTTTATTTGCTATTTATTGAATAAAATGAATAATACACGAGAAAGAGAATTTTTGTTTGCTGTATACATGATGCAGTTGCTAATCCTGTTGATTTTCCTTTGTGTTATTGCTGCAGGATATTATTGTTAAAGTGTTGCTGGGAAGATGTAGTCTCAGTAGGCCAGCCCCGTAGTAAGTGGGCAGCTGCGAAGGAAATTGAGTGTAATGGTCTACTAATTCCATTGGGCCCTTGAGATAATTTTGTTTTGGGCCCAACAAAATGGTGGCACCCAAAATTCCTTGACTTTGCTGTGAATAAAAAGGGTCGTGTGTCACTTTTACTCTTTCCAGATGAATCCCAACAATCACAAGTCAAATCTGTAATTTGTTTCGACAATTCTGCAAATTGAGGGAAGATCCGAAGAAATTGTGCTTTGTGCTGAGAAATCAAGTGTGAATCTGATAATTGAGCGAGAAATATGAACATGAGTCACCGCCTGCTTCGATTCGGCGCCCACATCGCCGCCGGCAGTGTCCAAATCGACGGCCGCTGAGTTGCCGGCTGCACCCAGCTCATCCACTTTGCTGTCACCCTCTTCCAAATCGGCGAACACACCACTGCCGTCCTGCCACCTTGCCATCCGGTTTCGAGCCACCGATCCTATCACCATCAGACGCTGTTCAACTACCACCCGCGATGTCAACGGAACCCCAGCCCAACCTCGTTCTGTCAAAGCCAGCCCCGTCTGAGCCTGAGCCTAACCCCGTCTCACCGTCGGTCGACCCGAACCCAGCGAACCCATCGCCGCCCACTTTCGAGTCGCTGAATCGTTCATATGTGCCGTCCGCGTGGCCCTTGGCTAGGCCATCGCAACAAACGTACCCGAGCCTCACCGGAGGATTCGGGAGCATCTGAGGAGGCAGTCCCTTCTCACTGATGCCTTCGACCCCACCGGCCGCACGCGCGAGGATGCTACCTATGACCAGGGAAGTTTGTAAACTCTCTCTGTGTTGCTTTTATTTTATGCATTCTTCGTGTTGTGGCGTTGAGGACCACGCCAATTTTTAAGTGTGGGGTGGGGCTGGCTGTAGGGTGCCCTGGTGTTTATGGTGATTTTGATTTTGATTTGCCCTGTCTGAGTTCGAGTTAGAGTCTGATTTGATGTTTGTCTAATGGTGTCGAGTCTTGTTTGGAATACCATTTGTGATTGTGCTCGATTCTCTTTCCGATGTCAGTTCTTGATATTTTTTTTTATGTGTGCGAAAAATTTTGGAGTCCTTGTTTGCTGTATATTAATTGACTGATTGCTCTTGATGACCATATGGCATATTAAGGCCAAATGCACGAGGATTAACACAATTTGTCCCTATTTGTTGTGAGGCTTGAGCCAATCAGCATACACTGACTATAATGCTCCTTTTATTGATTGTGTGATGCCACAACTGGTTGATCTTTCTAGAACTTGCCTTGTTATACACGTTTATGTTTGATTCGGGATGAATATGGATTCATATGATTGATAAGGGTACTTAGGAATGAACCTATTTTGTGTGGCCTTTCTTCTTGTTTTCTTTTAAACCGAACCCCTCTTCATATCCATTAGTTAGCCCCCTTGAGCTTGAGCCTTTTCTTTGAATGATAGCCATATTACATGCCATGTGACCTTTTATTGATATCCTACTTGAACCTTTGAACTAAGCAATTGTGTAAATTCCTGTCTAATTTGAGCAGAGGTTCTTGTTTGTTCGGGGTGTGTAAATGGGCTGCATGTTTTGAGTATAGTTGGGGGCTGTGTGTTTTGATATTGTGTTTTTTAAGTAGGGGTTATTTGTTCGAGGAAAGGATGTGTGTTAGAAGTCGTTGTTTGGTTAAAGGGAGGTGTGTTTTGAGTGTTGGTGAATGAATGGACCTGATTGCTTATTGTCTGATTTGTCATCCTATT